CACAGGTGTGAGTGTACATACGGGCATGGTTAGATTTTTCTAAGTTTTACCATGTATTTGGAGGATCCTTGGGATGCAATGTTACATCATCCCCTTATTCATGTGTTACATATGAATGTTAGAAACTGATACTTTAAGAAAAATAAAGAGTTGAAGCAACATAGAACTAGCATACCATCTGAATATTAATTATTTGATGATAATGGGCGGTATGTTTTGATGCAGCAGTGATACCAAAATTATACTCCACTTTAACATTCAAGTAGTTGCTTCCAGTGGCAGTGTTTCTGTTACATGTTAAGACTCGAGGTTAGTACTAAGCAGAGATTTATTGTTGTTACTTGTTACATACAAAGATAGAAACGCAAATTCAAATGGTATGTAATTCTTTTCTTTTTCATTCTTTATCAATTGGCAAGAGTTGTACAATTTAGATCCTCGCAAAACCTTTTTTGTCAATATATAATTATTTTTCTTTTTCTTGCTAACTAGCTTAAAAAAGAGGGGAGGAGGAATGAGTATGAGATGCACAAGCTCTTAGCTCTGAATCAGAGACAAAAAATGGTAACATTTATTTTCACATAGAATCTTTGTAATTTGAAGGAACTGTTCTCACTCTCAGCAATACATGTTTTGTTTTGCATTGAAAGAATCTTTGTAATTTGAAGGAACTGTTCTCTCTCTGTGCATATGCAATATGCATGTTAGGTTTAGCAAATAAAGAATCTTTTAATTTGAAGGAACTGTTCTCACTCTCTGCATATGCATGTTAGGTTTTGCAAAGAAAGACTGAAGAGGCTGCTATGGCTACAAAAAGGCTAAAGGAGCTTCTAGAATCTAGAAAGGCTTCGTCACGTGATTTTTCCAGTTAAGAGAATCTGTGTGCACTGTATTCTTTCTTTTTGTAACTAGAACTCAAAATGTTTATACTATATTTGATATGCAGGCACTGGAAATGGCAATGGGCCTGGAATTCAGGTATTGACAAACAGATAGAGCAGCTTGTTTGGGAGTTGTTTAGGCCTATTAGTTTCAGTCTAACATATCATATTAAATTCCCATGAGAGGGGTTATATTTTCAATTTTTTTCTTTCATACCATTGGATTTTGATGCATGTTCTAAGTGGTTCACTTTTTGTGATATAATATATCCTCCTTTTGAAGGCAATAACGCAGACAATTGAGCATGAACTTGAGGTCACAGTACGGGTTCATGAAGTACGTTCTGAATATGAACGACAAATAGAAGAGTGAGTCCTTATTTATTTCATGTTCAGCTTTGTAGGCAATGTTTGATATGGCTATAAAAATTGAAATGATGTATGCAAACACTAAGGCTTTGCTTGGTTGTCGGAAACTGTAAAGAAAATAATTTTGAATGTGATTGGTAGGAAAGAAAAATGAGAGGGATGATCATTTTCCGTCCTAATCCTTGTGTAAAAACAAATCATTCCAATTTGGAAGGAAAAGAGGAGAGAATATGTGAGAGAGAGATGTAGTTTAGTTCAAAATTATGTATTTTCAAAGCGTTTTTTTCTTCTCACTTATGAACTTACCAAGCAATGAATGGAAAGAAAAAATGTAATTTTCCATCATTCCTACCAAGCACACCAATGAAAAGAAAAAATATATCTTCTATCTTTCCACTTTTCTATCCTTTAGTTTTTCATCCTTCTAAATCTCTTTCCACTCTATCAAGCAAAGCCTAAATGTGAATTTCAATTTAAAATCAGAGGATAATGTTTGAGATTGTTGCTTGTATGCTTATGGAATTACTCTTAACTTTCAGCTGTATTTTTTGCCTTTGATTTTTGGGTCTCCTCGTACTCTTTTACACTACATTCTGCGTTGACTAGGGATGCTGACGTGCCTCTCCCTCCCCAATTGGACAAAAAAGATTAAAAAAAAAAGGTCTGTTTCATTGTTAAAAGGATAGACCATTTTTCATGATGCTTTTATGTTAAGAAATTTCCTTGATTTTGTACGGTTGCCCCATCTTCCCTCTAGCACCTTGTGTTTATGGAGGATGCCAGAGAAAACTTGTTCACATAATGTGTTTGGGCACAATAACCATTAGTTTCTTTTACATAAGATCCCAACTAGGTAGCGGTGGCTTTCTTATTGTTTTTATTTTTAATGTTCTCTTTGTATAATAGGAGGGCCAAGATTGCCAAGGAGGTTGCAAGACTGAAGGAAGAAGCTGAGATACTTCGACACTGTGACTAAGGTTAAAACCTTGCAAATATGCTCTCTTCGTTATTTGAATTGTTTCACTTTTTAATACTATCACATATACCAATGATCAAATGGTTTTCTTTTAACGTTGCCAAATGCAGAGATTGTCCTGAGACAATGTCTCCTGGTGCACGAGGTTCGAGGATTTTCGCTCTAGAAAACATGCTTGGTGCTACTTCTAGTACTCTGGTTGCTATGGCCTCACAACTATCTGAAGCTGAAGAGCGTGAGCGCATTTTTAGTGGAAGGGGACGTTGGAACCAAGTTCGGTCTCTTGCTGATGCAAAAAATATTATGAACTATCTATTCAATTTAGCATCATCCTCAAGGTAATGCATCTTTCTTAAAAAGAAAGTATTCCATGATAACCTTTCCCTTTCCATTTTCTACCAACTGATTTTCTGCAGCTTTTTGATTCAATTCAATAATTTGCCGTCCCTTTTCAAGGTGCTCATTGCGAGATAAGGAAGTTAGTTGCAGAGAAAAGGATGCAGAAATAAGAAATCTTAAAGAAAAGGTGGTGAAACTTAGTAGTTTGGCTAGACAGATAGAGGCACAAAAGGCATATCTTCTTCATCAAGTGAAAATGAAGGTTAGTTCGTACTTTATTGGTGTTCAATCTGACTTTGAGGGGGTAAGGTTTTACTATACGTATTTACTGATTGTTACCAGTTCTTTCAAAATTCTCCATCCTGCTGAGTTTGGAATCTTATTTCTGTTTGGTGTATCTGATCCTTGTAACAGATATGAAGAAAGACACAAATGAAAGAAGACATAAGAATGAAGCGCGGAAGCAGGTGGTCCTTTTCACACCTCTTTCTATTGCGTTTACTTGTTGCTTTAGGTAGAATGGTTTTAAATGATTGCTTGTTTTGGAAACATTGTTATAGGAACACCAAAGCTCCGTAACATATATAGAGGACATGGATACATATGAATCGGAATATTCAGATATGGATGCAGGCGATGATGATGACGACGATGATGATTGGGTGCAGTCTGAGAGAAAGCCAGTAAGGAGAAGAGCGTCTAGAGCTAGAGCTTCAACTGCAGGAATTCCTAAATCAGATAAAAATGTTGTAAACGGATGCACAGGCGAGGTTGCAAAGAAAATTGAGGGGTTATGCTGCACTTGCTCTAAGAAGTCATTGTGCAAGACACCGAAATGTCAATGTAGAGCAAATGGAAATTCTTGTGGACAATCATGTGGCTGTTCTTCAGTCAAATGTTCCAACAAAGAAGCCGAAGCCAACGTGTCTAACGATGCCGATACTAACGAGGAAATGAACCTTGTTGCTCAAGGTGCAGCACTACTACAGAATGCATTAGAGGGTGAGAAGGCAGCTGAAATGAATGATGGCGGTACTACAAAGAGAAAAGCACTAAGTGACATCGGAAACACATTGGTATCATTTCTGTTTTTATATGATAACACTATATCTCAGGTATCATAATCCTAGGTTTTATTTTCATTTTCTAACTCTGTGATATACTTACCAGGCTAAACCCAATCTACCAAGGCCTAATCAGAGAAAGAAACGGGTAAAATTGGAGATTCAGCTAGTTCCGGTAGCCCCACCAGCTTTACAACCAAAGAACAATGCAGCACCCGGAAATCCAAAAAATGTTGATCCTACACAAAAACCAGATAACTGTCCAACAGTCCAAGTGAATCAGATATCCCTTTGAAGTTACCAAGAGCAATGCGATCAGCTTCGTCAAATGGCAGTAAAGTGCTGATAGAGACAAATGCTGATCATCAACGGGATGAATCAACAACTTGGACACCAATTGCAACAAGAACATTAGAAGAGAAAGAGAATTGCTGCCATTAACTCGAGTAGTAATGTTCCTTAACCAGCCGTTCATTGATAAACTAACCACCACCGCTGTCAAAATCCAGCTTTTTAATCCTTTTTTTATGTACAAGAAAGGATTCAACATGAGAATTTGGAAATCCATTTGATGTTGTTTTATTACAGTTCAGGACAGAAGCTTTGTCCTTGTAATGCACTTTTAGTTCCCGAATACGAAATTGAATAACGAACTTTTGAGTCGGATCACCTCATAAGCAAGGTTTCTTCTTCTTTTTCTTTGCACTTGTCTGAATTGTATTTTGGTCACGTTTTAGGTGAAGAGTGGAATGGCCATCACGAGAAAAATGGGATTTGCAGGTGGCTGGATTGATCTTATTCTGAAGTGTATTCTTTAGTTCCGTTCTCGGCCGTTCTGGACGGGCCACCTCGGAGTCTCTCACTCCCAAAAGGTTTGCCAAATATTTTGGTGATCTTGCAAAGAGGAGGGGGTGGGGGGGAAGGATTAATCAAAGGCGGCTTTTGATCTGTTTCAGTTGGGGAATGTGCAATGACATCTTGCCTAATGCCAACCCAGAAGTACCTTCGTGTTCGGAATCCATCATGCAGTGGACAGAACATCTATTTCACTTTAAAATATTTGCTTATTTTCTTTTCTTACAAATTTCTGTTTAGAAAATGGTTCTATGCGCGTCCTGCTTCCATCTGAATGTCATGGACTAATCTCAGCCTTGCATTTCAATAAATAAAACCCCCAACTTCGCTTTATAACTTTTTTAGAAACGAGCACTTTCAAATTTTCATATATCAAGGCATAATAGACGGTTTTCTAGTGTTAGTTTTAGTAAAAAAGACTGAAGGAAAATAACAAAACGAAAAACAAAACCATGAATCACGTTATTGCTCATTACAACAAAGTTTCAGGAATAAACCTTACAACACGGTCATTTAACAGATTCTACTCACCAATGGCAATTTCATTTTGTTTTTTCTTTATAATGCCAATAAACATCACATCCCTGGAATCCAAATCCAACGCCATGATCATTATTGTCAAAGCTCAAAATAACTCACCTGCAGCACATCCATCAATGAGTTCATGATTTATTGATTTCAAGCTTGGAGACCCAGTAGCCGAGTTGATCGGCGACACATGCTAAACCGGTTGAACCATATGAACTGAATTTATTAACTGCATTTTCTACCCCAAGAAACTCATACACATCATTATCAAATACAGGACTTAGGCTTCTCATGTCCTCTAGACTCAAGTCTTGAAGCTGGCAGTTCTTGAAAACGCATAACGCAACCGACCGTCCGACTATATCGTGAGAAGTTCTGAAAGGAATCCCCTGCGGATGAAGAAATTACTAAACGGTCATAAATTTTGTTTTTTTTTGAGAAAGAACGAGAAGCACAATTGGAAATGGAAAGAAGTAAAAAAGAAAGCACTCAATATATTAATTAAGCAAGCAAATCAAATAAAATCTTAAAACAAAAATGAAAAATCAACAAAAACACAACAACTTGCCTTTTTAACTAAATAATCAGCAAGTGTTGTGGCATCAAGATAGCCTGCAGGTAAAGCCTTTCGTATTCTTTCATCATTGAAAGTAATATTCTGAGCAAACTCAGCCGACACTTCAAGCATGCCTATGACGGTCTTGACGCTGTCAAATGCCGGTTCCTTGTCTTCCTATTTTAAAAGAGAAAGAGATAACTTGGTATTTACTCTAATAGATGAAAAGAAAATACATGAAAAGAAGCTCAAATAGATGAGGGCACAATAAGGTTTTAGTAGTACCCTTATGATAACAAATTAAACATAAAACAAACATCAATGTGCAAAGTCAGGTGTCCATGAGTACATGAAACTGATATATCGAAACCACAACATCAAGCGCATAAATAGGCTTCTACCTGCAAATCACGATTATAAGCAAGAGGAAGTCCTTTGCACAATGTAAGAAGGGTAACCAAATCTCCAATCACTCTAGCAGACTTTCCTCGAACAAGTTCCATTGGGTCAGGATTTTTCTTTTGAGGCATTATACTACTTCCGGTGGAAACAGAATCACTAGGTGTGATGAATCCAAACTCCTCTGAAGCCCACAACACCCATTCTTCACCAATTCGAGAAAGATGAACAGCAATGATGGAATTAGCAGAAAGAAACTCTAGGACAAAATCCCGATCTGAAACCGCATCAATACTGTTTAAGAACAGAAAATGCAACTTTGTTAGCACAATCCTATAGAAAGGGTAATAACTTTTCATGCTACAAATCGTAAAATGGTTATGTGTGACATTTCAGAAGTTGGAATATAAAGACTGTTTCAGCACACATACCTGTTCCTCAAGGGAGCAGTGAATCCCAAAGCATTGGAAGTCATAAATCTATCAATCGGTAAGCCAGTACCAGCTAGTGCACATGCACCTAGAGGGCTGAAATTCAATCTAGCTTTACAATCCAATAAACGCCCAGCATCGCGGTCAAGCTACAACCAAAATGGTAGAGTTAGTGATTCTAGAGGCAAATTCATAGAAGATAAAAGGTAAGACGCCATCATGAAAATATACAGAAATTTCAATTAACCACCTGCAATCAATTAGCATATATAAGAATCACCTTTTTTGTTTGTTTTAAGAAAAAGTCGTGGTCTTCCCAGCCATAACCATAATTGATTTGTTAAGAAGTCGATGAGCACATCATATCATGTGGATTCCAACATTCAAAGACCTCAAATATTATGTTGACTTGATCATAACCACTAACCATTTATAATTACAATCTGTAGGCTTACTCAGGTTTCTATATTTTCTACATTTGTTTACCCTTTGAGAACCAAGCTGCAGACCATAAATGTGTTTTGCCTTCAAAAGTAATCCTTTTTTTTCCTTGTAAATGTTTAATTAGATAGGCTTCTTTCTAAGTTGAAGAATACGAGAATAAAATTTTACAGTTAAACCAATAACCCAACCACTTATTTTTCAATATATAAGTATGTATGCCCATACGTATGTGTGTGTATATATAAGGATGTTCAATTTCATCTAGACTAGCTTATGGATGACATGACGCAAACCTGCTCCACAAAAGCCAGAAGAAGATGTTGAAGCAAAACAGGTTGTGCCCTCTGTAAATGTGTATATCCAGGAATGATGAGACCTTCATTCTTTAAAGCCAATTTCACCAAAGCAACTTGGAGATTTCTAATGCTAGCAACAATCCAGTCGATGGCATCACGACACCACAAACGAAAATCAGTCGAAACTTGGTCATTTCGGCTTCGAGCAGTGTGGAGCTTCTTCGCAGGCTCACCAACCATATCCGTTAATGCAGCTTCAATGTTCATGTGGACATCTTCCCTGTCAGTTCTCCACACAAATTCACCAGCTTCAATGCTTCTCTCTATTTCATCCAGACCTTTCAAAATACTATCCTTGTCACTTAAACTAATCAACCCCTACAAGCACAACATATGCATTTAAATTAGCGAAACGCCATTACATAAATGACAAATAATTAAAACTGCGTTTTGCATTTCCATTCTCAAAAACACTCTGGAAACAACAATTTGAAATAGAGATATGAACCTGTTGAGCAAGCATAGAAGCATGGGCTTTACTTCCCATAATATCATGCTTATACAATTGCTTGTCGAACGAGATAGACTCGGTGAACTTCTCGACGATATCCGTCACACTCTCTTCGAATCTCCCACCCCAGAGCTTGATCTCCTTGGGCTTAGTGTCGGCTTCGGCTGAATGGCTCATGGTGCACGACAATGGCTCGAACCTCGACTTGGCTATGTGCGGCAATGGGAGTACGGGTGTCGTCGGGGTACAGAGAAATTTATTGGAGTGGAAAGTGGATTGGGAGGAAAAAGCTGGGGTTTGAAATGAAGAAGAATAAAGCACTGACTCCATTAACCAAAGCTTAAGATTGACGAATGGAGAATAATTATAGTGCGCCTTGCTTGCTTATATGTGCCTTTGGCATCGCATCGGCAGACAGGGTTTTCGGGTGTTTTCTTCCTCAAACTGTGTGGGTCCTTTCGGGTCGGAATGAGGTTGGTTTCGGATCCAACATTATCGGGTCTTGATTTTAGTTTTTTTTTTTCAATAGGGCATTCCCAAAAAAAATTGTAAAATAGGACACACATATTTTTATTTTGGGATCTACGGTAATTTTTATAATACATGTAACTAGTCACGTTGAAGTAACGAATTTTAATAAAAAAATTATTTAAACCTTTTACCTTGATTTGATAAAATTAAAAAAAAATTATTGTAACTCGTTACCTCAATATAACAAATTCTTATAAATTCACTATAACAATTTTCGTATTCTTCAAATAAAAATTCAGGTATCTTAATGGGCTAAATAAAAAACCATATACCTTAATGACCTATAAAAACCCTTGATTTTGGGGCAATTGGGGCTGTGATGCATATTTGGGTAATGAGTCTTTTAGGGGATTCAAGCCTAATCCAATATCTGTTGTTAAGAACGCTATGCTAGCCTTTGAAGAAAACCAAAACTAATACCATTCAAATTATGAACACATGTATCCTTAAGTTACAATGTAAAATGAATTCTATACCAAAGATTTTGCCTATTCATTTGTTTAGTGTGTCACATAAAATAATGTTGAGAAAAAATCTAAGTAATATAACATTTATAGGAGAAAACAATATTAGATCGATCAAAATTTAAACATGGATAGTTAAATTTATAAATCATTTTAAATTAAAATTAGGTTGATAGTATAAATTTTAAGAAATAAAATTATTAAAATATCATATTATATTAAATATACTTTTTAATTTCAATTAAATTATAACATTTAAAAGATAATTTATTTGTAATTAAATTAATAATTAAGTAACACGGTGTACATTACGCTTTGAAAAAAAAAGTTACCTAAAGGAGCATACTAGAAATATTGATTTCTGTTAAGGATGTAAAGCTTAGCTTAGCTTAGCTCAATTTTTGTTCTTACATCTTGTGTTAAGGGCGTGCCACAAATGAAAAGGTTGTTAGTTTTTTGTGTGTGTGATCAAAGTTGGTATTGTTGTTTAGGGTGGTCTCGGCCCTATGGGAAAAGTATTGACAAGGTGCATGTGTTAGCTGTTGATTGGTTTAAGTAAAACATATTGAAGTAGGACAAGTGCAAAAGCATAATTCTTTGCCAAAAGCATAATATTTTGCCACTGTAACACCCTAATCCAATTTAACTCAAAGATCATCGAACTATGATGTCATACGAAACCACATAAGTGGTTAACCATTTTTTTTAAAATGTTTCATCAAATATAATCCAGAAAATTCGAATATCATGTAAATACAAAACATAAGTATTTGAAATACGGGAGCTCCCGACATAAGTCTCCAAAATATATTAGTAATCAAAATACATAGTTTATGACTCAAATACAAATAAGGGTCTATGACAGTACATGTCTACTAAATACTTGAGACATACTTTAAAACGGTCGAGTCTGGAAATCTTTGAATTGGCGACGTGTTCCTCGATCTGACACCTAAGGACCTGCGCACGGAAACACATTACATACACTGAGCTCACAAGCTCAGTGCCACATAAATAACAAGGTTATACTACAGGCATCCAACATATAAGAATAATACAATATAGTCAAGAGCAAATACAACACTCAAGCAAACAGTAAGTATCATGGTGTAGTTCGTGGTCACTTAGCATCACGGAACTCATACCCCTCTTTACGTATGAGAACACTTAAGGAAAACCTAGGTCACATAACATCAGTGTCTCCTTAACCCTTCGGTTAAGTCTAGGTGACGAAGATTCGACACTTGCCCGACTAGTCTACTCATCTAGAGTACTCGAGACGTGTCTGTGTCACATAGCATCGGCACATCATCCAACTAGCATTTTAAGTGCCTAAGCACTAGATTGGATATATCTAGATAATCATTACTCATTCAGCTAACATCATTAAGTAACTCGGGTGTGCTCGTCGTTTCCCGAGCATCAAGCAAAGGCATAAGTCTTATGGAATCTTACCTCATTAAAACTTTATCACACAATTATTTGAGTTTCACTTGTATTCTTGAAAGAGTATACCTCTTTAAAGAACCCTAAAATAATCTCTCTTGAATCACCCACCAAATTTATCCAAGGTTTCACGTGTGTATCGATACTCCATCGGGTATCGATACCAAAATTACATTCGATATTTTGGAAAATATCCCAATATCGATACCCCTATTGGGAGTATCGATACTACCCTCTTGGTATCGATACTCGCTCGAGTATCGATACCAAAATTATATACTAGAATCAATTTAGAACCCTGAGTATTAATATTAATCCTCATGGTATCGATACCGCACGAACAATATCGACACTCCCTAGTGAGTATAGATACCCTCTCACTTTTATTCAATTTTTCAACATTCAACAAAGAACATTATCGATACTATTCTTACAATACCAATACTCTTGACCCATAACCTCTTTTCCACTCGTTAAAACACTACCAAATCACTCCTAAGGTACCCCTAAACATCCCCATTTAGTGTTTAAGGCTTATTTAGTATGTAAGAAACATGAAAGGTCGTCACTTTGAGCTTTAACAACAACAAATTTCATTTTTCATGCGTAAATCCCTACCCAAGTGCATACAAAGGCTCAAGAACACAACATGCATCAAAACTCTATATTTTGAACTACAAGCAGTAAAGAGATGTTAGAAATATGTTACCTTTCACCTAAGAGCTGCAAAAATGACCTCAAGATCAACCAAGAGTCTCATTTCCTTTGTCTTGACCCTTAGAGCTTTCACACACTTCTCTCACTAGAACAAGAAAATGTAAAGGAGTTATTAACTCTCTTAAAGTCTTAGAACGTTAAAAGTAAGGTTTTAAGGTTTAAAAATGTTCTAGAGTATTTCCTAAGCTCTATAACTCAAAACCCTCCTTAAACCCAACCTTGGCCAAACTTCAAGGTTAAGAGCTCATTTTGAAGCTCTAGAGGAGATGATTACCAATCTTACTTTCTTAATTTCGGACTAGGAGTGTAACCCAACAAAGTTCCCCCCTTTAAATTTCTAACAACCAAAGAGAAAAGAAGAAGAAGACAAAGGATGATGAAGAAAAAAAGATTGAATGATTTATTTCTAATTTGGTGAATGCTCTCTACCGTGGCTGCATCAACAAATTAAGGGAAATCAACCTTTGAAATCTCTCAGGGGAAAATTGCACTCATAGTCCATTTTATTTGATGCACACTTTAAAAATACCCTTTTAAGCCTTATTGGGCTCAAGCCCAAATCAAACAATTATACCTTAGCCCAAAACTCATAAATGGTTTCCTTAGACCATTTAAAACACATTTGGGTTTACCCAAAATTACTAACCCGAGTATCGAGGCGTTACAACTCTTACATCCTTAAAAGAAATTCCATCCTCGAAATTTACCTTTGTAGAATAGATTCAGAAACTAGAGTTGCATGTCCTCTTCGGTCTACCACATTGCTCCCATGATTCATCCACAAAACCTTCACTAAGGAATTTTGCTTGCTTCTCAACTCATTAACCTTTCAATCCAAGATCCTTATCGGTTCCTCTTCATAGGTCATGTCTTGGCTTACCTCGATTTGTTCTCAAGAAATCACATGGGACGGGTCCGAACGATAGCTCCTCAGCATCGATACATGAAAAACGTTATGAATTCACTTTATATCTTGTGGTAAATCCAAAAGGTATGCTAAAGTTCAAACCCTATCAAAAATTAGGCCTAACTAACTTTCTATCACTAAGTTATGTCCAACACAATAACGTTCTGCACTTTCTCTCATACAAGGCCTCATACAGAGCCATTTGGATGCTTGATAACTCAACCAACGAAAGATGATCCTCCCAATTGCCCTGAGGTTAATCACACAATAGCAGTGCACATCCTCTAAGATTTATATCACACACTTTAAATGACCATCGATCTGCGGGTGGAAAATGATGCTGAAATAAAATCGAGAGCCCAAAACCTCATGAAGCACCCTCCAGAACCTCAATATAAAGCGCAGATCTCAATCGAAGATAATTGACGTCGGGACCCCATGAAATCTCAATATCTCTTGGATGTACAACCTAGCCAACCTCTCTAGGGTGATGTCCATACGAACAGGTAGGAAGTGAGCAGACTTGGTCAATCGATCGATCACAACCCAAATAGCGTCATGCTTCTTTCGCGTCATGGGCAACCCCGTCATAAAGTCCATGGTCACTCTATCCCACTTCCACTACAGAAACTGAATGGGCTGGAGTAACCCTGATGGAACTTGATGTTTTGCCTTCACTTGTTGACATGCTAAGCATCTGAATACGAACTCGAATATTCTTTTTTTATGAATGACCACTGGTATAACTGCCTAAGGTCTTGATACATCTTGTTTCCTCCTGGGTGAACTAAAAACGAACTACAATGTGCCTCTTCAAGAATCTTGGCTCATAACTCACTAACTAACGGAACACACAATCATCCCTAATAGTACAATACCCTACCATCATTCAATTCAATACCTGACGTTTTACCTTGACGAGTTTGCTCAACCTTACTCATCAATAGAGTGTCAGTCCTTTGAAGTTCTCTAACTTCTTTAACCAAATTGGGCTTTGCTTGTAACCCCACTAGTAGTCCTCTATCAATGGTCAAACTCAGGCGCGCAAGCATAGCTCGAAGATCAAATACAATTACTCTTCTCAGTGCGTCGGCTACTACATTCACTTTACCCATATGGCAGTTAATCATGCAATCATAATCATTGAGCAACTCTATCCACCATCGTTGCCTCAAATTTAACTCCTTCTAGGAGAGTAAGTACTTCAAACTCTTGTGGTCAATGAAGATGTAGCACTTCTCTCTGAACATATAGTGCCTCCAAATCTTCAAGTCAAATACCATAGCTATCAATTCTAAGTCATGAGTAGGGTAATTGTATTCATGCAG